TGAAGATGCTCTTGAAGCACGCCCTAAAGGAAGGCATGGGGGGGCGGTGACCATGCAGCAAATAATCATTGTCCTTCAGCCAATCCGGGAGCACGTCGTGAGGAATGACTCGCCATCGACCTTCCCACACCTGTATTCATGGAGAAACAAAAATTTAAGTACAAAAGAAAAGAAAAACACATCAAAAAGGTGGACACATGCATTTAACATTTGAGTTAGTGGGGCCTTTCTAGAAGCCCACCTAGAACAATAGGATGCAACAAAATTGTGGAAGAACAAGACAGGTTATAGAGTACATTAGTGCTAAACCCAAGAACAAGCCAACTCTTGGAATTAAAAGTGAAGGTCTGACAGTTAACCCATACCAGAACGAAGGGTGCTGCTTAAGGCTCTGGTAGGTCCTTGCCTGCTGTCAGCTGCTGAGAACAGAGGCAGGGAAAGAGCTTGTCTCAGCTCCGCAGATATCAATGACAAGAAAAAGGAAAGTCCTGAAAGCAGCAATTTACACAAAACCCCTGTGTAAAGCATAGGATCAGCCTCAGCCTAGACTGCGTCCAGGCCACACGACCGACGCGTTTCTCCCCGCCTGTGGGGTTTAGTCATGGGGATCCCCATGTGAGCAGGGTCTGGATGGAATGTAGGCTGAGGTTGCCCTTACTCTTTACAGCAGTGTTAATTTAATTGGTGAAAATATTTTCGTCAACGAAATTAACACTATTTGAGTCAACTAAAATACAACTAAAACTAAAATAAAATTAGCTGACTAAAATACAGCTAAAACTAAAATGGCATTTTAGTTAAAAGACTATGATTAAAATGAAATCTTATTAGATTCTTTAATCCAAGAATATATAAAATTCTAGAGAAATGTTTAAATAATGCATTACAATTTAACTAAACTCAGTAGCATTTTAGTCGACTAAAAAACGTACTGAAGATTTTAGTCAACTAAAATACGACAAGCTAAAACAATTCAGATGATTAAAATATGACAAACTAAAATGGCATTTTAGTCAAAAGACTGACTAAAAGTAAAATCAAAATTTGATGTCAAAATGAACACTGCTTTACTCCGGGGTTTTGTGTGATGTGCAGCTTTTGAGACTGTCCTTTTCTTCTCTCTGACCATTACTACTCTATCAACTGCCTAAATTCATGTGGATACAGACACTGTCCATCCAGCTTATCAGTAATCAGAAACTGCCTAAATTCAGGTTATTATTATACAGTATTTATATAGCACCAAAAGGTATGCTCAGCGCTGTACATTATAGTGGGGGACAGTACATGAGACAGTACAGTAACAAAACAATACAAGAGGGGTTTGAGGGCCCTGCTCTTTCGAGTTTACAATCTAGGAAACTAACAATCTGATTATCGGATGATCGCACCAAAGGCTGTATTTTTCTTTTGTCCGATTTTCTCATTGTGTAGAGTAGGCTTAAGGGAGCACTGTCATCCAGCTTATCAAGAATCCTAAACTGCCTAAATTCATGTTGATACAGACACTATGAATACTGATAAACTGATGACAAACTGCCTAAATTCATGTTGATACAGACACTGTCATGCAGATTATCAGTAATCATAACAGTAACAAAGGCAGAACCCTGTACAGTGCTGTTATACACACTCTGGACACATTGTAACCCAATGTAAAAAAACACATTACCCTTAGCTGCAAAAGGGAGACCATTTCAATAAATTTCAGTTGAAATCCTTTCAATAAATTCAAAGAGATTGGTTGTATAGGTCACCTCAAACTGTACAAACAGCCACCACTTAATCAGACCTCCAGAAATGTAAATTCTGGACTGGTTGCTATAGCTTACATCGCAGATTATCGTCATTGTTTGCAATACTCAAGGCCTGTTCTCCATGGGTGGCAACCAAGACGTCAAACACTTTTTCAGCCACCACTTCACATGGCTGCAATGATGTTGTGTTATAGAATACATGGAAGCAGTGATAACGGACAGCAAATTGAAAAACCGCTGAGGGACCCTTTGACTGAGAATAAATTAGGCACCTCTGAAACGATTTAGTGTTAAAAAGAAACCTTTTTGCTTGTGGTTTAGCCATATTTTCAGCTTAAATGATGTGTTCCCTGAGAAGATCCCAACCCACAGATCAAAATGTGCAAAAAATGCACAAAAGCGCTTAAAAAAGCCATGCATGTGAACAAAAAGCATGCATGTCTCACCAAGGATAAACCAGAAGCTCCAAGTAACTCAATGAGATCACACGGAGCATCGCCTAAAAACAAACTCACTAGGACTCCATGGAGCATGTCCTTAGGATACCCCACCATGAAATCTTTCTTCCCCTCCACCACATACTAAAACTCTCATCCCTGATTACAGGAAATGTGAACTCTGGCCTGTAATCACTAGCGACATTGTGCTGAAATAGAAACTGACGTCACTGCAGATACGAGGCTAAGAGGAATGCGAGGAGCAATGTTTACATGTTACCTGCTGCCGACATCTCAGCAGACAGTGTAAGATCCAATGAGTGGCCTGTCGCTTCCTAGCACAGAGATGAATGTCTGGCAAATCCCCAGCACAGATCAAAGGCATCTTCCTTTGTTGCTGGAAGATGCCCACAATACACTGAATTATAAACTTTTGCATTGCGTGTAGAAGGGATAAATCCTCTGCCAGGTCTCTACTGTTCCCCATTTCACACCTTATATCCTGTCCTGGTGACAACCTGTCACAAAGAGCAACACCGAGACAGAGGGATGAAGAAGTAGAACCTTACTTCCTGACACTAGAGAGAAGAAACAGCTATAGTTGTATTCTGGTCTAACCAAAAACCATGCTGTTTTCACAAGTATTTAAATTGCTAAATAAAAATTAAAAAACAAAAGAGAAAACTAAGAAATGATGGGAGAAAAAGACCAAGTGGTCCATAGAGTCTGCTCTTTTTAATGGCATTGGTATGGATCTGCATTTGTGCCAACCGTGTTTACATTGACTTACTGCTGGCTGACCGATTTGCTACCTCCGCTGAAAGTCTGTTCCAAGCATCAACCACTGTTCCTGTAAAGTACGAGGTAATGCACCTCCCCGTTCCTGAACTTTGCTTCATACTAAAAAAATAATTCCCTTCCTGTACCTTATTCACATACTTAATGTATTTAAAAAGTTTGTTATTTTCCCAAAGATTGTACATTTTAAGTTCCTGCAGTCTCTACTGATATGTTCTGTTCCTCAGACCTTTCACCATTTTTGCTACTAAACTCTGTACTTGTTCTATCCTATCAATATCTTTTGTAAGCGATGCTTCTAGAAATGGACACCGTATCCTGAATAAGGTCCAAATAAAAAACTGCTGGTCCATATAGAATAGTAGTCCAGTGATAACTAAAGATCTGTATAGAAGAATTAGGACCTTTTTCCTTGTTCTGAGGATTCTTCTAGTGATAACTAAAGATCTATATTGGGCGATTTAACACCTCTTTTCTTGCACCTCCAAAATTCTATTTGTTTGCCCCAAAACCAAGCCACACGGTTTGCTCATTTTGTAATGATTTGAACATGCCCAAATCTTAACTCAATTTCTTTGAAACATCTTGACACCTACTCTATCCCTCTGCCAAAAGTGAAGAAAATACCCTATACTTCTGATGTGGAAGAGTGTGACTTCCTTTCTACCCTCTCCTACAATACAATGCTGGTGGTTGGAGATTAGCTGGTCAGATACCCAAATTAGGAATGGACTATCAAGGTCTGTCTGCATACCTTACAGACGAACTCCTCCACCCGCTCCATGGCGTGATGAGCCTGCAAAAGAGGAGCCATTCCCATAAAACCTTCATCCTCCTGCACTGGCTCTTCTATGCTGTCGCTTTCCTCCGAGTTCTGTAACACAAGAGAACATAAAAGAAAATTACACAAACTTTCCAGATTATGTATTAATAACTTTTACATTTCACATTTATATCAAAACTAAACAAAAAAAGAAAGAAGGAAAAAAAACAAACAGTTTGGTTGCAATGAAGAAGCACCATGTGTGCAGTACGTCTGGCTGCATCCAGGGGAACGGTCAAACTAGGTGAAACCTGGAAGGTCAAATGTGCCCCCAATCATTCATTAAACAAGTTGGGGGGGCAAAACAAGTTAGTGGGGGTGGAGGGGGAAGGAACAAAGATGGGGTGTCAGTTGTTGCAATAAAGCTCTTCATACAAAATAGGGAGCAGTGTGGGCTCTGGCTGTATGTAAAACAATCCAGGCAAATGCTAGAGACCGAACTGAACATCCTACCACCCATGCTACAATCTGCTCTAATAAAATATTCTGCAATCCATTCAAATGCTGCCTATACAGTCTTGTTCAAGCTTTCAGGATCTCAAGTAACCCACACATAGTGATCTTTTGTAGCAGCCAACCTAATCAGACTGTAATATTGTTAGCTTGGCAAAGCCTTGCATCACATTGATGCTGCTTAGAGGATGTGCAGTCCACTACTCCATACAGGTGTCCCAGCCTGCTAGGGTACAGGCTGTAATGTGACTGACAGCTTATGATTACCAGATGATATTCAAAACTGAAGGGCTCACATCTGCCATCCCAATCAGCCCTGATCTGCAGGGAATTGTCCATGCATTTCCAAGAATCACTTCAGAAATGTCAGATAGGTACAGATCAGGCTGAATTCTAATAGGAGCTGATCTACACCAGAGAAAGATATGGCATTGCAGAGCAACCTCAAAGAACCAACTTAATGAAGAAAGCAAAAAGTGGAGTCAGGGATATATAAAGTGTTCAATCACCCTGACTGCATACACCCGATCCTCCCAATCTCCAATTGGTAAAGTTATTTCAAGTAGTTTAACTAATTACTGGTCATCCTACCATGAGAGCCCTTTATCAGGCACTTCCTGTTATAGGATGACAAGGTGACAGCACAGTTGGGAGACAGGAAATGACAGGCTACTGTCTCCTAACTGTGCTGTCACCTGTCATTTCCTGTCTTCCAACTGTGCTGTCACCTTGTCACACAGGCTACTGTCTCCTAACTGTGCTGTCACCTGTGTGACAAGGTGACAGCACAGTTGGGAGACAGGAAATGACAAGGAAATCTCCTGTCTCCCAACTGTGCTGTCACCTTGTCACACAGGCTACTAACAGACTACAAGTATACCTTTTAACACGTTACACAAATGTACAAAAAAGGAACAGTCCACTGTTTTCACTATCAGGAAACCCGCCTTGAGAAATGTCACACAGCCAACACTGGAATATTTGTAGACAGAAAGTGGCTGAAAAAAGAGGTGACAGGATATCAACAGCACTAAGAAAAACAGTGAAAGCTACAGCATTTCTGTATGGTGCGCAGTCCACAAAGCAAACTAAAATGTTATTCAGTTAGTATTTAAATACACTTACATTTTTTTTTTCTATGCATAGCTTGGTACATTACATGCTTTGCTTTGTAGTACAGCACAATGACAGATTGCCCTATAAGGGCCCCTTTACACATGGGTGAAGCACAGTAACACAGATTACAATGCGTTGTTGTAATTCATTATGAATGGCACCACATTGCACCCTGGCAACAGACATCAGTTGCAGCATTGCATATGGCAACACATTGAAGTGCATGCACCATTTCTGGCAACCCACCACACTGCAATGCACTTCAGTCAGCATGGTGTCCGGGTGCCAGTGAATGAGTCCTTACTGTGCTAGACTATGAAAAAACTTTATCTATTCTGTATGGATAAGTATGGCACAGCAGCTCAAAAAATGCAAAAAGAAAATTTTCATTTGAACAATACAAATTCCACACTAAAATTTCATAAACAGCAGAAGAAAGCTTTGGAAGATACACAGCTATTTACACAACATGAAGCTCCACAATTGTAGAAGGCGGTATGTTTCTATATGCTCAGAAAGCATCCCTGTATTTGGTTATACGAATGAAGATTGCATTCACGTATAACCAAACAGCCCAGATCTATAAACTTCTATAAACCCACAAGACAACCATATTGATTGCTTGCAAGAAATAAAGTGCTTTACATCAGGACGAGAGTCCCTATAAGTGGAACGTAATGTGATGGGAAGCTGTATTTGGCCCTGGCTGGATGTCTGTGCAGAAAACACCATCAAGCGGGTCAATAAACACAGCAGGGCTGGTGGGGGCTGCCATAGACATTAGGGTGTGCAAAAATGCTCCTTTATGAATACCTGTCCACCTTTATCCTCTGCAAGATGTCATCCTATAACACAGAACACAATTTATTTCTTGGTGTCATGCCACTATGCAGACCATTATCTTAGGATCTTAGAATTCATGCAGGATGGCCATCAACCATTGGATTTCTAAATGCTAGATATTAGCAGTCCATGAAACCAGCTCACTCACTGGATCTGAGTTCCAAAGGTGTTAAATGGCAGCTTTTAAACATTCTTGTGAAAATGAAATTGCTGCTACAATTTTCATAGCTCTGTATTTAAAAATTGGTTCTAAATTGGTCCTAGTATGTGTGTATGTATGCATGTGAGGCAGGTACATTAGATTGCTAGCTCTTTGGGGATAGGGAGGACCGATATGAATGTACAATGTGTAAAGCTCTGCATCAATTGCAAGCCATATATAAATGGCTGAAATAAATACAAATATAGGGGCTGTTCTCTATCAAATGATATATATTTCTAAAGCCTGCAGAGAATTTCCTGAATACCAGACCAGAGAGTGCCAAATAGTTCAGCAAGAACAAATGCTTAAACAAACATTCACTCAACATCCCCCCCCCCCCCCCACCACCACTGCACCAAATGTAGTGCATTCTGCAATCAACTGAGGGTGGACCCAGCGACAGGAGAGGCACCCGTACAAAGGACTGTGGATTGAAGGGACGCAGCTTGGACAGGAGCCTTCCCTGCCTCTGCAAGACTGATCTGCCAAAATACAGCCCTGTTGACTATTTACATTGGGGGTCATCTCCGACAGTGTAATCACCGGGGCTCTGCTGGCCATGTGACTACCGTCCCTGCACTTTACCAGAATGCAGCTCCTATGTCTGACCACTGTCTCTGCACTTCATCAAAAAGGGGTTCCACTGTGAGTGGTGGATGTCTCACTGTAATCTGCAGTGCTGAGTTGCCAATATGACAAAGTTGTCAATGTCCTGCTGTTTGTTAATTTAGGTTTTATTAACCCCTCCAATGCCTTAGCTTTATATTATTGCAATTTTTTTAACCATTCATATGTAAACTTGGGAAAAAAAAAAAAACTCTATCAGTTTTGTCCTCCTGAGGTTATCTTACATCCCCACCACCACCCTCCCTGGCCCTCCTTCGGCCTTTGTCCAAACCATTGACCTCTTTTCTAACTAACCCTACATATTTGCAAATGAGCGGGGGATGCCTGCGATTAGCTGTGCACAAGCAGCCCCAATGAATGCAATGGGATTCTGACATCTCCTGCAGCCATTTTCAGCCAATCACATGTAATCACTCAAGCAGCGATTACTTGCAGATGATTGGGCCACAGCTGATCATATGCAGACCTGCGGGGTCTCCTGCAGCTAATCACAAAATCACAAATGGCCCCATTTGGAAGCGTGAATAAAGTACTGCATTGCAAGGCCATTTACTACCAAGCCACCCCCCCCCCCCCCCCTTTGTGGGCAATTGCTGAAAGTCCTGGCAGAATGCAGCCCATGTGTAAAAACTCCAAGCAAGGGGACACTATATAAAGCAGTGGTCTCCAAACTGCAGCCCTTTGCTTGCTTTTATCTGGCCCTTGGGACACTAATTCACTGACACCAATGAAAGGCATAATTTCTCTTAATGACACCAATGACAGACAAATTCCTACCAATGAAATAAATGATGGGGCATAGTTCGCCCCCCCCGACACCAACAATGGGGCCCAATGACACCAATGAAGGGGCACAATACCTCCCAATGACACCAATGATGAGGCACAATTCCTCCCACTATCACACAGCGATAGGGATTGTTTACTCCCACTGCTGCTGGGACATTTTGCATTCCCATTGGCCATAGTCCCCCCCCCTAAAGACTGAAGGACAGTAGACTGGCCTTTTGTTTAGAAAGTTTGGCGACCCCCCCCATATAAAGTTTCCTTTCACACAAAAGGCTGGAGTTCCTAAAATGATAATGAACTTATGTTATGTGATCATTTCACATAGTAACGGACCACAGCGGTGTTACTTTGCAGGTAAATAACTGGAGGACAGCCAGAGACACTGAGCGTATGGCTTGCAGCACTTGAGCTCGTATCGGTTACAAGGCGCCGCCTTGGCCGCGCAACAGATTTGTCGGTATCAGATAGCGGATCCTATATCACTGGCATAATCCCAGCTCTCCTCTGAAAGGTGACAGGTGACAGGCATTGTGACTAACACACTCAGCAAAGTGTTAAATGTTTCAGGATGGTGTTAGGTGCGCTGTCCCCCCTCCACAGGAACCCCTGAAGGAGGGAAAATGGATCTGCACCACCACATATCAATTTACTTGAAGCCTCTGAGCTGTACATTACCTTAACTTACCACCAAAAGCTAAATGTAACTGGAAAACAATCTGGGACCATAAATGCTGCTGCAATTACATTCATTGTTTTTCCTCTCAATATTTAAATGGGAAACATTAGACAAAGCAATAACTCTGTAATAAAAATTCAATGATTTCAGCTAGAAGTGTTCAGTTATGTTCTACGGAGGCACAGCAGGAGCTGCGGTCGGTGTTTGTCTTCACAACAAATTACAGATAACCGCACGCCTTCCTTCAGGATAAGCAAATATTGTAAATACATAAAAAGAAAAAAAAAATGT